TGGATGGATGGATGCAGGATGGAGAGCCATGGGTGCTCTGATCCCACAGCTGGGGGGTCGCTGCCAGACCGGCTGCAGCAGGCAGAGCTGCCCGTGGTGGACTATGAGCACTGCACCCAGCCCGACTGGTGGGGGGCCCTGGCCATCCGCCGCACCATGATCTGTGCTGGCGGCGCCGAGAAGGCAGGATGCAACGTGAGTACCAYGACAGGAAATAGAGGGGCACACCCTGGACCCCTCCGTGGTGCTGACCCCACCCCATCCCACACCCCAGGGTGACTCTGGGGGCCCATTGAACTGCCAAGCTGAGGATGGGACCTGGGAGGTTCACGGCATCGCCAGCTTCGTTTCAGCCCTGGGCTGCAACGCAGCCAAGAAACCCACCGTGTTCACCCGCGTGTCTGCCTTCGAGGATTGGATTGCAGAGGTGGGCATGGGCTGCCAGGGTGTCAGCGAATGGGATACCTGGTTGCCACCGTGCCAGGGTGCCAGAACAGGGAAATCATGGTGTCAGAGTGCCAGGGAACTGGGGTACCATGGTGCTGGCTGCTGGGGAGTCGGGGTGCCGTGATATCAGGGTGCTGGGTGCCAGGGCAGTGGGGTACAAGGGCTCTGGGGTGCTGGGGTACCAGGCTGCTGGAGTGCCATGGTGCCAGGGCACTGGTGTACCAGGTTGTTGGGGTGCCGTGCTGATTTGGGGTGCTCTGATGCTGGTGCTGTGGTGCTGGGATACCAAGTGTCAGAGTACCACAGTGCTGGGATACCAGAGCTCTGGGGTGATAGGGTACCAGGGTAGCAGGGTACTAGGGTGCTAGATTCTGGGGTGCCAGGGAATTGGGGTGTCAGGGTACTGGGTTGCCAGGGAACTGGGGTGTCAGAGGACTGGGTGCTAGGATGACACAGTGTCAGTGTACCAGGATTCTGGGATGCGGGGCATTGGAGTGCTGGGGTGCCAGGGCAATGGGGTACCAGGACTCGGGGGTGCTGGAGTGCCATGGTGCTGGGTGCTGACATGCTGGGGCACTGGTGTGCCAAGCTCTCGGGATGCCACAGTGCTGAGGTGTTGGGTTTTTAGAGTGTTGGGGTGTCAGGGTGTTGGGGTGCTGTCCTCCTCCCTTAGAAGCTTCTCCCTTTCAGACCATGAGAGACAACTGAGCGTGGCAGCGTCCTTGTCATCGACCCCCCGGCCAGGTACCGGGCTAATAAACCACTACCAGCTGGCACCACTGTGTCCCTGTGTTGTGGGAGGGCTCTGGGGACAGCAGGGGCTCTGACATTGCCAGCAGATAGTACTGGCAGCATGCAGATGTGCCCAATGTCATGGGGATGGACACGCAGAGACACCCCAGTGTCACATGGTCATCCAGAGATACCCAGATGCCATGGGGATAGACACTGAGAAGTGCCCAGATGCCATAGGGATGGACACCCAGATTGCATAGAGATGGGTACCCACAGACACCCAGATCCCACAGGGATGGACACCCACAAGTGCCCAGATGCCATGGGGATGGCACTCTCCAACACCCAGATCCTATAGGGATGGGCCCCCAGATCCCATAGGGGTGGGCACTCAGGTGACACAGGGATGGGCACCTTCAGACACACAGGTACAACAGGGCCAAGCACCCCAAGGTGCCCTGTGCCACGTGAGTAGGCACCCTGCTGGATAGGCACCCCAAAACACATTGGTACGGTGGCCCTGGGTGCCCTGAGGACACAGGGATGGCCTCGATTCTACGGTGACAGGCACCCAGTGACGWCCTGTGTTCCCACGGGGCTGGGCCCCCCCGAGGCCCCAAGAAGGCCCCCTTGGGGTGCCCCAGGGCTGGATGTCCATGACCGTGGCCCTCCTGGCCTGGCCGTCGCTTCGCAACCGCCGGCACCAGCGCGTGACCAGCGAACAAAGAGTCCTTTCACCAGTGCCCCTGCCGTGACCAGCACCCTGGGACCCCCCAACAGGGTACCTCAGGCCCACCCCCTCCACACRGGCTCCCTGCAGCCATGGGTACTGCAGCACCCCCCAATTCCCGCTGGGATCTGGGTGGAAAATTCCGGCACCAGGGCTGTATAAGTTTTATGGGCCCCTCGTCACTGTGTCCTCGGGGACCTTTGCTCTCCTGGTGGTGGCCCTGGCGTCGTCTGCCCCGGCAGCCCCTCGCTATCGCCGGCCCTTTGCTCCAGGGAAGGGGGAGGCTGAGCCCCCTTAACTCGTGACACCCTTGCACAAGTTGGGGCCACCTGGCAGAGGCCCAGGGTGGGGAACAGRGTGACCCAGCCCAGCACAGGGACTGAGGGTGGGGGACACCAGCTGTAACCCCAGTGCCACCAGCGTGAATTGTTGGTGGGATGGCACTGGGTGGTGACAGCTTTTAGATGCAACCACCCTGGGGTGGCAGCAGGGTGCAGGGACAGGAATGTGACAGTGCCAGGGGTCTGGTGTGGGGTTGTGGGATTGCTGTGAAGTGTGGGACTGGTGTGGGTGTTGTGAGGCTGCTGCAGGTGCTACAAGCGTGGCACGAGCACTGTGATACAGGTGGTACAGACCTGGCACATGTCCTGTGAGCCTGGCACTGGTGCTGTGAGTGTGGGATGGGTGCTGTGGGCATAGGATGGGTGCTGTGAGTGTGGGATGGGTGCTGTGGGCATAGGATGGGTGCTATGAGTGTGGGATGGGTGCTGTGAGACAGCCCTGGGCAATACTAAGCATGCTGTGGGTGCTGTGAGCATGGGATGAGTTCTATGAGCCTGCCAGGGGTACTGTGAGCAGGATATGGGTGCTGTGAGCCTGGCACAGATGGTGCAATCCTGGGATGGGCTGTGAGAGCCTGGCATGTGTTCCATGAGTACGGGATGGGTGCTGAAGTGTGGGATGGGTGYTGTGGGTGTGGGATGTGTGCCATGAGCTGGGTGTGGGTGGTGTGAGCCTGCTGAAGGTGCTACAAGGCTGGCAAAGGTGCAGTGAGCACGGCACTGGTGGTCCACACCTGGAGAAGGTGAGGGATAAGCCTGGAGATGGTGCTGTGAGCCTGATGCAGGTGTTACCAGAGTGACAAGGGTACTGTGAGCCTGTGCAGGTGTTATCAGTGTCACATGCATGCTGTGAATGTGATACAGGTGTTATCAGTGTGACACGGGTGCTGCCAGCCTGGTCCCAGTGTTGTGGGTACGGTGTGGGTGCTGCGAGCCTGGCACCAGTGAGGTGGCTGGGCACGACTGCTGCGAGCCTGGCACCAGTGCTGCAGGGTTGGCACAAGCACTGCAAGCCTGGCACCGGTGCTATGAGCCTGGCGTGGGCACTGGGAGGCTGGCAGGGGTGCTGGGAGACTGGCAGGGGCACCGCGAGCCTGGCATGGCCCCCTGGCCCCCCGGGACAGCTCCTCCCTCGCTGGTGGTGCCAAGCCGCTGCGAACCCCCCGTGTCCGTGTCCGTGGCCTCTGGCCGGACCCACCCCCGCTGAGTGACTCAGCCCGAGAGGCTTTTCCTTATATAACGCGGCACCGTGCAGAGCCCCACGGAGCGGCCCCTGCCTCAGTTTCCCCTCACCGGGGCGTCACCGTCACTGCTGCCACGGCTGCTGCTGCCATGTGGATGGTGTCMCCGCCGGTCGGTAAGTGCCACTTGGATGCCACTCGACCACCTTGAAAGGTGTCCCCCATCCCTAAAATCATCAGTTGGTGGGGGTTAGTAGAAAAATTAGGGTTATTGAGGCAGAAAAATGGAAAAAATATTAATTGCTCCCCGAAAATAGGTTAATTTTGCACTTGCTGTGGTTGAACCCCTTTTCCCTGCACCCTGGGTGGGTCAGACAGCTGTGGGGGCACAATCCCCCTGTAACACACCTGGGGAAAAACCAAAATCACCTTGCTTTCCCCCAAAAGTAATGATAAAGCCAGTGGAGGGCTAAGGAATCCTCTCCCATCCCAGCACTTTGATTTTGGGGTGAGAATCGGCAGGAAGGGTGAGTTTGGAAGCCCCGGCAGTGCCTGGGTGCTGTGACACTCACAGGTGCCTGGATCCGGTGCTGCGACAGCGCTGGAACATTCCCAGGGCCCCGATCCTGCCGGTGCTGGGAAGGGACGGCAAATCCCCAAACCATCACATTTTACCCCAYTTAGCTTTCAAAGATCCAAAACTCACCAATTAGCCCAAATTAAGAGATAAATAGGGGGTGCAGCACCCAGCATGTCCTCGGACCCCAAAAATCCCTGGTTCCGGTAAAAGCAGGAGTGCCSGTCCCGGGGCTCAGGGGGGATTTTCCCGGCTCAGCCCGTGCCGGCGGCTCCGGGCGCGGTGTCCAAAGGTCACTCTCGATGCGGCGCTYAGAGCCGCTGACCCCCGAAACCACATCTATCCTCCAGTTTTTCCTGGTTTTCCCACCTGGGGAACGGTTCTGGTGGTGTTCCGGTGATGAGCCCGCGCAGGCTCGACCCGGAGCAGCTCGGGGGGGCTCTGAGGGGGCTCGGGGGGTTTGTTTTGCTCTGACGTCCTGTTTTCTTTCAGATGAAGGATCTGCCTGGCTTTGGGACACGGCAAAGGCGGGGGGCAAAGGACAGGACCTTTAAATTCTTTCCCTAAAGCTTAGCCCGATAGGTATATAAGATCCATAGAGCTTAAACCGGGGTTGGCTTTTAGTCTAAGCTTGGGTTTGGCTTAATTTGTCTTTATTTTATTATGTTTTATGGTTCTTTTATTAATTTCTTTGCTTTTTTGGCCTCTTTTATTCCATTTTTGGCTGCYGGTGGGGAGCTCAGCAGCAGAGCTTGCACAAATCAACCCCCCGCTGCTTCATAAACGGATTTTGGGGGATGTTGGTTTGAGGAGGGGGAACTCCTGCACCAAACCTGCTATTTTTGGGTGGGGCTGCAGCCCCTCCCTGGTTAGAACATAGTGGGGGGTTGTAGGTATTTTCCAGACCACCAAGAAGCTGGTGCTGAGCGAGCAAGTGGGACGGGGACAGGCGCTGGAATTCTTCCGGAAAAACGCGGCCAACGGGCTCTCCGTGGCCAACCTCCTGGCTGGGCTCTCCTCCATCCTCTGCAGCGTCAACAGGTGGGGGAAACTGGGAAAAACGGGGGGAAAAATGGGGTTGGGGAGTGGGGGTCACCCTGGTTTTGGTCTCTCTGTTGCCAAACTGGTGGCCAGGCTCCCCTCCAACTTCTGCAGCATCAGTAGGTGTGGGGAAAACAGGGGGAAATGGGACTAAAAGGGGGGAAATGTGAAAAAGATGCACAGAAGTGGGGGTCATGCTGGTTTTGCTGGAAAAAGGGTGAAATGGGAGGGGAAAGATAGTAGAAAAGTGTGGTTTGCCCTGGTTTGCTAGGAAAAGGGAAAAAGGAGAGGAAAAATATGGAAATAGGGTGAAAATGAGGTAGAAAAGTGGGCACCAACCTGATTTTGTTGGAAAAGTGGGGGAATGGGGGGAAAAAAGAGGATGAAAAGTGGGGGACACTGTGGTTTGGTTCTCTCCATGGTCAAAAGCTCTCTCCTTTGGCCTCTGCAGCATCAAAAGATGATGGTGGGAAATAGAGGAAATGGGCTTAAAAGGGGTGAAAAAAAAAAGGTTGGAAAATGGTGGTCACCCTGGATTTTTTCCTTCCATAGCCAACCTCTGTAGTCAGGCTCTCCTYCATACAAAGTAAGTGTCGGGGAGAAAAGGGGAAATGGGCTCAAAAMAAGAAAAATAGGATGAAAAAGCAGGTTGCAAAGTGGCAATCACCCTGGTTTTGCTGGAAAAAAGGGGAAATGAGGCAAAGATAGGAAGAAAAGTGGAGATCCCCCCAGTTTTGCTCTCTCTGTGGCCAACCTGGATGCTGGGCTTATCTCCACCCTCAAYAGATAGGGTAAAAAGGGGAGAAATGGGGTCAAACAAGGGGGAACACGGGCTGAGAAGTGGGGCTTCTCCCCCAGGCAATACCAGCACTCCTGCTGGCTGCTGCTCCTGGGCTTCCTGCTGGATCTGGCTGATGGAGCCGTGGCCCGGCAGCTTGATGCCTGCTCAGCACTAGGTTAGTGCATCCCCCCGGCCTGGGGGTGGTCTGGGKGGTGTCCCCTGTGCCTGGTGCCCACCTGGCACCTGCCCCTCGCTGCCCAACAGGTGCCAAGCTGGATGACTTTGCGGATTTCACCACGTTTGGGCTGGGCACAGCACTGTTGCTGAAGCCCCAGGGTGTGCTGGGCGGGCTGCTGACCCTTACCTATGTGCTGGCCGTCTTCGCCCGCCTCTGCTTCTTCTCCAGTGGTAAGATGAGCCCTTGGGGGTGGGGAGGTTTGGGGTATTGCCCCCACACTGAACTCCTGGCACCCCACAGGGATTCCCTTCACCTACCGGGGGCTGCCCTGCCCCTACGCCTCAGCGCTGCTGGCCAGCACCTTCCTGCTCACCGGGGGACACGTGGCCCTGCTCCGCATCGCCGCGGCTGCGATGATCCTGTTCATGGCCGACTGTGGCTTCTACCCCCACGACAGGGTGCTGGAGTCACAATTATGGAAGAAACTGGTTTATGCTGGAGGTAAGGATGGGGATGAACCTCTGGGAATGGTGGTGAAGGGGGAAGAAGAACAGATCCCCAAGGATTCTCCCACTCTGTAGGGGTGGTGGCTGTCCTGCTGGCACCAACGGCGGTGGCTGCGGTTTATTGTCTGGCCTGGGCCACGTCCTACATCGTCTTCCCTTTCGCCCTCTGGAGCTGCAAGGCCTGAGCCCTCTCTAAAGCCTAGTAAAGCCTTCCTCATCCTCATCGTCCTTGCTCCGGGTGCTGCTTTTTGCTCTTCCCACTGAATCCGTGTGGCAGAGGGAGCCTGCTTAGGCAAAAAGAGGAAAAGGCTCAATTTTAGGYAAGCCCCAAAATCCCAATCCCTTGGGGGTGTGAGGGAACCCCCATCCTCCCACATCAAGAGCAGAGACACCCMAATCCTTGGGAAACAGGAAATTTAGGGATTGCCACTACAAGAGACCCCCAAGCCCTTCTCTGCACAGGAAAATGAAGTTTAGGGATTGCTCCCACTGCCCAGTGGGAATTTATGACAAAAGGAGGTTCACACTCCAAAAATGAGGAAGGCCCTCCCTCGGGGGGGGGACAGGGAGGGGAAGATGCTGATCAAACTTCCAGAGAGTTGGGATTCTTCAGGAGCAGCTTGGAATTTATCACTTAACCCGTGGCTGCAGGGAAATACCATCCCAAATGTGGTTTATYTTCACCCCGAGTGTGACATCACTGGGGCAGGGAGGGAGGAAGCAGGATTTGATCCAAAGTCTTTGGAAAGCCAGAGGCTGCCAGACAGTGGCGGCTGGAGTGCGGAGGGTGTGGGTGGAGGAAGGAAACGAAGGTCAAACCTGGTGCTGGAGAAACACTCGGGATCCCCAGGGAGGCTCTGGCAGTGGGAGCAGCTGCAAGATGTGGCTCCTACTGCGTCCCCCGGGGATAAATCCCAGCACCGGGAGGACAGGACCCTTCCGCTCRGCAGGAAATGTCAGGATGGGGCCACGGCTGGAGCTGGCACCCGGCGCTGCAGCTGCTGGGACGCTGGCCCTGCTTCAGCTTCCCCCACTCCATTCCCACCCGGACTGAGCAGGAGCCGGGAGACACAGAACTAACACAGATTTTATTGATATAAAAAGGGCGATCTGATAATAAATACCAGGGGGTTAGAAAAGGGGGGAGGGGGGGCAGGGTGGGGGCCGGGATGTCATTCCCCGGATCCCTGCATCTGCTTGCAGAAGGAGTCGAACTGCTGCTGCTCCAGCTCCGTCATCACACGGTTCAGGGCGTAGATCTGGGATTGGGAAAGGGCAGATGGCAACAGGGGTTCGGCCGCGGGTTGGGCCGGGTCCCTCCCCATTCCCCTGCTCCCACCTCCGCCCGCTGCCGCTGCTTCAGCTCCTGCTGTGCCGACCTCTGCTTGGCCTTCTCCAGGCGAGCCGCCGGCTCCCGCGGCTTCGGCCGCTCCTTCCGCGCCCCCGCGCCCGGATCCATGGCTGCGGCACGGCGGGGGGGTCACCGGGGCCCCGCAAAGCCCCACAGCCCCACCCGTGTCCGTGAGCCCCCAGACAACTCAGCGCCACATGGGGTGCCCCAACGGCATCCTGAACCCACAGGGGAACCCCCCCGATCCATCCTGAACCCACAGGTGACCCCCAAACGCATCCTAAACCTCACAGGAAACTCCCAAATCGATCTTGAGTCCCGGAGGAGACACCCCTCCGACCATGCTGAGCCCCAGAGCAGACCCCCCCCAACCCCATCCTAACCCCCAAATCCACCCTGAGCCTCTCAGGTGCCGCCACACCCCCACAAACACTCTGAGCCCCACAGGAGCCCCCCAAGGATTCTCCCCGTCATTCCCCATTTTCCAGTCCCCTCAGCGGTCCCATCTCTCCACAGGGACCCCCCAGGCCCTACCGTTCCCAGAGCACCAACCCCACAGACAGCCCTGTCCCAAAACCCCCAACCCCTTCTCCATTTCACAGGCCCCTGCACCCCGCTGCCCATAGAGACCACTGTCCTAAGCCCCCCCAGGCCCCTTCAGGCCACCTCCACCTCCCCAGCCCCTCATAAACCACCACCCCACCAAACCTCACCACCCTCAGTGCCCCACAGGCTCCCCCCTCCCCACAGYCACCGCAATTTCACAACTCCCAGCCCTGAGTACCCCACAAGGTCCTCCCCAGGCCCACAGTGATGCCTCAGCTCCCCGACTCCTCCAGCCCCTCCCAAGGCTCCGGTGCCCCCTGGCTCCCCCAGCCCATCTCCTCAGCCCCTGACTCCCCCCAGCCCCTCCCCCGTTCCCCGGTACCGGCGGGGCTGCGCCTGGGGCAAGATGGCGGCGGAGCCCCTCCCACTGCTCGGTGCTCGATTGCCTGTCCTGGACGCACGCGCGCAGTCTGCAGGCAGAGCGGCACCCGCGGCGCGCGGGGAGCAGCGCCCCCTGGCGGGAGGGCGGAGAAGGTTCCTCCCAGCGCCCCCATTGTCCTTTACTCCCCAGAACGGGTATGTTCCACCCCCCATAYATCACCCTCCATACAACCCACCCTTATATATCACGCCCCTACATATCCCTCCTCTAAATGGCCTACCTCTATATATCACCATACACAGCTTATTCCCARTGTTTGTCTCCATTATACCATACTCCCTCTACAGCCTATCAGTCCCAGAGCACCTCCAATCCCACAGACACCCGTTATAAAGCCCCCCAGCCCCTAAACATCACCACCGTATATCACTCTACTGTATAGACCATCCCTATGTCTCACTGCCCCATACAGCTCACCCACTATACAACTCCCTCCATATACCATACTCCCTATCTAGCACACCCCCTATAGAGCCCAGTCCCTAGATATAACGCCCCAAACACCATATTCCTATATAACCGACAACAACATATCACATCCTCTGTATAGAGTACCCCCATATATCATATCCCCTGCACCACAGCATCCCCTCTGTATCACCTCCTGTGTACAGCCTACTCCCCATATATCAGACCCTCTGTACAGCCCACCCTACACAGCCCACYTCCTATACATCCCCCTGTACATTCCAACACAAGCAGTGTCCCCTACACGGACACATGGAGCCCTACACAGATGCATGGAGCCCTGCCCAGGGTTGCRACAGCGTGGCCCAGCCTGACCCAGCACAGCACACATGGCACAGCACATATGGCATGGCACATCAGGGCAYGGTGCAATACCTGTGGCACACACATCACAGTACACGTCCCATGGCATGGTGACCCCCGACACAATGTGCCACCCATATGGTGCCCCCAGCATGATGAGAGACACCTGCCATGGCACAGCCCACCATGGCACAGTGTCATACAACAGGGTACAATGCCCCTCAGCACAGTGTGGCACCSCTGGCACAGTGACAGACCCCTGCCATGGCACAGTGCCACAGACCAGGGCACAATGGCCCCAGCACAGATGRTGCCCCCAGCCCATCCCAGCACTGCCACCCTGGGGCTCTCCACCACCCAGCCCCTTCTCTCCAAATTTTTTATTGCCATATCCCAGTCTCCTGCACCAGGATTCCCTGGAAACACAGGACTGAGAATTGGGCGGAATGCCGGATCCTGCCCAACACCAGGTCCAGTTCCTGGAGTGGGAAAACACCCAGCAGGGTGAGGAGACACTCAAAACCCCGTTAGATACGGACAGTGTTGATTCGCAGCGGCTGGACATTCTTCCCGTTGGCATGGCTCTGCCCAGGACTGAAATACGAGCACAGCTTCCCGGGAAACCTCTCCCGGAAGGTGTAGAGCCAAGACATGTCATCAGCGTTGTAGAAGATGAGGAGCCCTTTGTCGTAGTCCAGGAAGACGCCCACCTTCTCCAGCTTGCCCTTGACGTTGAGCCGCGTCCAGGGCTCGGTGCAGGCGCTGTACTGGTTCCCGTCGTGCATCACGATGCAGTAGAACCCACGGCTCGGCTGGATCTGGATGCTGCCCTTGCGGGTCACAGCCTCGTGGGCCAGGCCGATCATCCACTGGGTTTTTTCGGACACCACCACCTCCCAGTAGTGCACCCCGGCACCAAAGGCCTCAGTGCCCAGCACTGACACTTCCACATCGAAGCGCCGGGGCGAGTCCTGCAGCGGCTGCGGGTGCAGGTTGCCATAGGCCACGATGGTGCAGTCGTCCGACAGGATGAGGCGGTGGTGGGCAGTGCCAGGGTCCAGGGTCAGTGCTGCTGGCACTGGGACAGAGTGGGGACAGGGGTGACAGGGTTAGTGCAGCCCTGGAGCCAGCACAGAAGCTCTGTCCCAGCAGGGTGACAACTGGTGTGGGGGGAAGGTCAGCAGGGTGACCCTGTCCCCATCCCTCACTGGCGTGTCCTGTCCTCATCCTCATCCCTTGTCAGTGATGTCTATGTCCTTGACCTCATCAGTGTGTCACTTCCCTCCTTGCCCCTCACCGCTGATGTCCCTGTCCCTTGGCAGTGGCATCCCCTTCCCTCACCAGTGATGTCCCCAATCCATCCCTCACTGGTGTGTTCCGGTCCCTCATCGGTGATGTCCCAGACCCTCTGCCTTATTTGGCAGTAACGCCCCCGTCCCTTGCCAGTGACAAGTGATGGCCCCAGCCTCATCCCTCACAGGTACGTCCCCATTCTTCTGTGGTAATGTCCCTAGTCCCATCCCTCACCTGTGTGTCCTTGTCCTTCAATGGTCATGTCCCCACCCCAYTCCTTGTCAGAGGTGTCCCTATCCTTCACTAGTGTGTCCTTGTCCCTCACTGGTGATATCCTCATTCCTCACTAGTGTATCCCAGTCYCTCATMAATGTATTCCCATTCCTCAACAACWATGTCCCTGTCCTCATCCATCATCAGTGTGGCCCTAACCCTTACTGGTGATGTCACYATCCCTTGTCGGTGACAAAATTCCYATTCTTATATCTCTCACTGGTGATGTCCTTGTCCTCATCCCTCACTGGTGTGTCCCTGCCCCTTATCACAGATGTCCCCATGCCTTACTGGTGTRTCCTTAACCCTCACCAGTGATGTCCTCATCCCTGTTCCTTGCCAGGGTGTTTCTGTCGTTCAGTGGTGTGATCCCATCCCTGTCCTTTGCTTGTGATGCCCCTATCCCTCATCGGTGATGTCCCTGTCCCTCATCAGTGATGTCACTGTCTCCATCCCTTGCTCCTGTGTCCCTATCCCTCACTGGTGACATCCCCACCCTATCCCTATCCCTATCCCTATCCCTATCCCTATCCCTATCCCTATCCCTATCCCTATCCCTATCCCTATCCCTATCCCTATCCCTAACCCTATCCCTAACCCTATCCCTAACCCTAACCCTATCCCTAACCCTATCCCCATCCCTATCTGGCATGTCCCTGTCTCTCACCAGTATGTTGCCATCCCCATCTTTCACCAGGGCATCCTCATTTCTCACTGGTGATGTCCCTATTCTCATCCCTCACCAGCATGTTCCCTGTCCCTCACCACTGACATGCCCATTCCTCCCCAATTCCCCKGTCCCTGCACCCTCACCGGGATGGATGTCCTGGAAGAGGGATTTCCAAATGGTGTACTGCAGGGGGCCCATGTACTTGGAGGTGGGGAAATCCTCATAGGTCAGGTTGGTCTCATGGATCTTCCCCTTCAGCCTGCGGAGAACACACGGTGCCAAGGCGGCGGGGTGGTGACACCAGGGACCCTGCCACCCCCTCACTGCCACCCACCTCTCAGACAGGGATGCCACACCGGCCAGGAAGATGTGTTTATCTGCCTCGGCCAGGCGCTCCTGCAGGATCTGGGTACCCTCCTGCACCTTGCGGAGCTGCTGGCTGTAGCGCTGGATCTTGTGCTCGATGTCGCTGAGTGTCCGCGCCGTGTCGGCCTCCAGCTCCTCCAGCATCGCCTTCTGCCGCTCCCGCAGCAGCCGGTGCAGCCGCTCAAACGCCTCCCCAATCGTCACCCGCAGGCACTTGGCTGAGGACTTGGGGTGCAATGGGGGTTAGCAGACCCAAAGCTGTGCTGGTCACTCTATGAGTTCTTTAATCCCCAAATAAATCCCTACAGGGCATCAGCTTAGGGAATTCTGGGGGCTGAAAGGGTGGACTTGATCTTTCATCCTTAAAAGGTCGACTAAAAGGATCCTAGAAGCATCGCCCAAAGATCTTTCCAAAGAACCCCAAGAGAACCTCCCCCAAAAACCCCTGAAAGAACCAAAAAAAAAACYCTCCCAAAGAACATTCAAAAAAAAACCTAAAGGAACCCCCCTCAGAACCCTAAAGTAACTCTAAAAGAACCTCCCAAAGGACTCTGAGGAACCTCCCCAAAAAACCTAAAAGAACCCTAATTGAACCCTAAAAGAACCTCCAAAAGAACCCTAAAAACACCTTCCAAAAAACTTTAAAGAGCTATCAAAGAACTCTTAAAGATCATTGAAAGAAAAACCCTCTAAAAACCCYAAAAAACTCTCTAATAAGCTCTAAAGCCCCTCAAATTACACCCTAAAAACACCTAAAATACCCTGAAAAACCAACCTAAACTGAAAATAAATCCTAAAATAACCCCTAAAAACATCTAAAACCTAAAAAAACCCCATCTCAGTTACTGGCGGGGATGGGGAGAAAATGRAACCTTGCTGGACACTGAACTCCTGAGTGAGGAGATAATTAATTGAAAAGATAAATGAAAGCAGCGCTGCAGGAAATTACAGAGCAATAAGCAGCCTGATGGAGGAATTTTGGGGTACCACAGAAGGACAAAAATGGGGCAAATCCATGAAACTGGAGTTTGGAGCATTTGGAAGTCCCAAAACCAGGCTGGTAAGGATCAGGGCTGGGCTGTCATTAGGGTGGCAATGGGGTTGATCCCAATTCTGCTTTGGGGGGCTGTGAAGGGCTGGGAGAAAATGGAGAGTCCCCAAGGGTGAGAGTGGTGGTCCCACACGTACCTTGGTCTCAGCTAGCTGCTTCTTGAGGAGCTGCAGGGCTTCCGTGTGGCCACGCTCGCTCTCCTGCAGCCCCTGGAGCTGCTCCTTCAGCTCTCGCTGGAGTAAATGCATAAACAGGGGATTTGGGGAAAAGAGATCCCACAGGGAACTTTCCCATCCAAACCAACCACAGGGTTATGGGGCTGTGGAATGGCCACCTGATCAGTGGGGAATGAGGGTCCTGCCTCGGCTGGGGGASAGGTCCTGGATTGGGTCCTACTTGGGGGGCAACTCAGTAGTGCCATGGGGTAGTTTGAGGATTCACAAGGACTCCCAGTGGGGTTGGAGAAGGGGGATCCCAGAGGGGCAGTAGCAAAAGTGTGGATGGATGGATGGGTGGATGGATGATGGATGGGTGGATGGGTGGATGGGTGGATGGGTGGATGGGTGGATGGATGGGTGGATGGATGGATGGATCAGGGATGGATGGATGGATGGATGGATGGACGGATGGGGCTGATCCTGATGGGAACGAAAGGCCTGTGGGGGCAAACAGATGGGAGGAAGGCATGGAGCTGACCCCAATGAGCACAGGAGGGTGTCATGGAACTGACTCCAATGGGGAAAAGGAGTGCAGGGAAACATAGGGTGAAGGGACACGCGGACAGGAGGAAGTCACAGGACTGATCCCCCTGTCCGTGCAGGGAGAAACAGATTGATGGGGAAAGGCATAGGACTGACCCTGACAGGGAAAAGAAGAGGTGCAGGGACACAGGAACAGACAGGAGGAGAGCACAGGGCTGATCCCCACAGGGACAGGAGGGCTACAGGGACAGACAGACCAGAGGAAGACATGGGACTTATCCTTTGGACYCCCATGGGGACAGGAGAGGTGCAGTAACAGACAGAATGACAGGATACAGGCACAGGGCTGACCTTCAGAAGGAAAAGGAGTGCAGGGATAGATGGATGGGAGGTAGCCAGAGGACTGACCCCAAACAGGAGAAATGGGGTGTAGGGACAGATAGACAGAGGGAAGGTACAGAGCTGACTGAGAGGGAAAAGAAGGGGTTCAGGGACAGATGGATGAGAGGAAGCCACAGGACTGACATCCACAGGCTCAGGATGGGCACAGGGACAAAAGGGATGGCCACTACCATGGAAGCAAGAGGGACCAGTCAGACACAGCAGCTCTGAGGAGCCGCTTGGGGCAGAGAATCCCACAGGGACGCACCTGCAGCTCCTCAAAGGCGTCGTCCACATTGGTGACCTGGTGCTGCTCATGCATGGCTGGCTCATCACAGAAGAAGCAGACAACGGCACGGTCGGTGAGGCAGAAAAGCTTCACCTTTTCATGGTCCTTGCAGGGGAAGGGGCTGCGCTGGGCCCCGAGGATGGCGTCCAGGGGGAAGGCGCTGTAGCGCTCCACAATGTTGGCCAGCTTGAGGCTGGGGGCCAGCGTGGGCTCGGGGAAGGTGCGGCGGCACTCGGGGCAGTCRCGGGTGCCCTGCGGCTCCTGGCGCACCCAGTGCTCGGTGATGCAGCGGCGGCAGAAGTAGTGCTCGCAGCCTAGCCCCACAGGATCCTGGTAGATGCTCAGGCAGATGGAGCACAGCAGCTCATCCTTAAGGCTGCACGCCATGGCCGGGGGCTGGAGAGAGGAGCACAGGGTGAGTGGGGGGCTTGGGGAGAGTGGAGGCCTTGAAAGGAAGAGGAGAGGGTGAATGGGGTATTGGGGAGAGGGGAACCATGGGGGAAGAGGGTGAATGAGGGGCCTTCAGAGGGGAGAGGGTAAAAAGGGAGCTTGGGGTGGGAGCAATTGTGGGGGGAGGTTGTAGGGGACAGTGTGAGTGAAGGCCTTGGATTGATGGGGAGAGGGTGAATGGAGGGGGCTTGAGGTGGGAGAGAGTAAAAGGGGGGCTGGGATGGGGGGAGGTTAAGGGTGAGAGGGTGAGTGGGGACTTGGTGGGGAGTTGAGGGGGTGAATGGGGGATTGATGGGGGAGGGGGTGAGTGGGGGGACTTTTGGTGGGGAGGAATAGGGGCAGTAGGGGTGAACATGATAATGAAGGGGATGGGGATCAGGGTGGGAATGGCAGGTTACAGGGTTTGTAATGGGGGACAAGTTGAGGGCTGCGATACAACTCAAGGGCTGGAGGGGCTGCAGTGGGGGAAAATGGGGGAGTCAGGAGGCAATGGGGGGCTGTGGGATTTACAAAGAGGGGGAACCAGGGGGTCAGGATGCAATTGGGGATGCTGGAAGTGTCACACTGCGGGGAACGGGAGTATAAGGCCACAAATGGGGGATGGGGAGATTGCAATGGGGGATCAAACTGCAATAGGATTGCAGTAATTGGGGGGGAACTGGGGTCAGGATACAGTGGGGGGGGGGCTGAAGGGATTGCAATAGGAGGATTAGGATGCAATGGATGGGGGAAATGGGAGCATCAGGATATAATGGGGGGAATTTGGGATGAAGGTGATCAGAGCAAYACCAGGAGGGGATGCAATAAGGCTGCACCAGGTATGGGACTGAGGGTCAGACTGATACAGGGGATACGGGGTCGTTTGACAGGGGGAACTGGGGACACTGGTCATACTGGGGGGGTATGAGGCTGCATTAGGGGAGGCCGGCTGAGGCTGAACAGTGCGGGGCAGCAATGGGGTTGAATTACGGGGGTGGGGCTGAGGGTGGATTTGGGGTCCGGGACTGAGGCTGGATTTGAAGGAGCCGGGTTCACGCTGGGTTTGGGGTCCGTGGGTGAGGCTGGATTTGGGGAGAACGGGGCTGGGGCTGCCGGCGGCTGCATCGGGGCCCGGGGTTCGAGACTGCGCCCCGCTCCCGCAAGTACCCAGGTTAGAGACCGGCCCCCGCCAACCCCCGTCTGATGATGCCCCGCGTCTCCCTCAGCCGCCGGTGCCCTCACCCAGCTGGTGCCCGGTGCTGCTCTGGTGCCGTGCCCCGTTCCCAGTGCCGGTGGGGTCCGCGGTGCCGGGGCCGGTGGGATCCACGGTCCCGCCGCCACCTCCAGAGCGGCCCCGCCGCGACGCGCCGGGGGTGGGCGAGCAGGAGGGGGCGCGGCCGTGCGGCACTTCCTGCCCGCCCCCTGGCGCCCACAGTGGGCCCGCTCCCACCCCATTGTCCCCCGCGCGGCGCGGCCTCGCCGGCGCGTACCATGGCCCGCCCGCGGGGGGGAGCTTAAAGGAGCCACGGCCTCGCCAGCCGTGTCCAGTCTGTCCGGGCAGGCAGGCACAGACCCTTCCCCACCCTTTTTCTGTCTCTCTCTGTCCCTGCGTCCGTCCCTTTCTCCTCCATCCAGCCACATCCCTGTCCAACCCTTGATTCATCCATTTGTCCATCTGTTTTTCTGTCCCTCTGTCCTCCCATCTCGCCATCTGTCTGTCCTCTGTCCATCTGTCCTTCTGCTCATCTCTTGGTCCCCCATCCAACCATCTCCCCATCCAGTCCTTAATCTCTCTATGCACCCCTTTGGCTGTCCTCTCCCTCTGTCCCTCCATCCATCTGTCCATGCACCCATCTCTCTGTCCATCCCTATGTGCAACCGTCCCTCCATCTGTTCATTCTTCTATCCATTCCTCCATCCATGTATCCATCCATGTATCCATCTCTGTCCAACCATCCATGCCTCCTGCCGTGCATCTCTCCCTCTCCCTGTGTCCCTTCATTCATCCCTCCACTTCTCTTTGTTACTCCATCTACCCATCTCCCCATCCAGCCCTTAGTATCATCATCCATCCATTTGTCCATCCCCCTGGGCTTCCMTGCATGCATGCATCCATCCATCTATCCATCCTTCCACGTGACCCTTGCTCTCCCGTCCACCCATTTGCTCTTGTCCAGCCTTTAATCCCTCTGTCTCTCCATTTGTTTATCCATCCTGTCTATCCTTCCTCCTGTACTCCCATCTCTCTCTTCCTCCCAGTTTTCTGCACTCACCAGTGACCAGAGAGCCAGGTAACCCCACAGGTGGCACTGACAAACCTATTGCTGAGAAAGCACCATTTTCCCCCAAAATGCACCGATTTAGCATGGCCTGAATGCCTGGCCTCGGTGTGACAAGCCAGGACCAGCTGGGACCAGTGGCAGCACTTGTTTGCCTCATAATGAGGTGTCCACTGCCTGGAAKCCCCAGGGATTCTTCACTCCTCCCTTGAGGGACCAGGGTGGCAAAGGAAGAACCCCCAGGGTGGGGGAAGGGGAGTTGGAGGATRGAGGGGGCAGTGGGGAAGGGGACACAATTCCTGAGGGAAAGTTGAGCTGCATATTTGGGAAGAGGTGTGACCATTTAGCCAGGAGCCAAGAGAAACAAACTCCTTGGCTTTCACCGCTGGATCACCCCACTCCTACTGCTGGCACCTCCCTTTCCTACCCCCAAAATTAGGTACACCCCATCTCATATCTATCCCTTTGTCCTTCAGGGAATAACCACCCTCTCTGTTCCTCTTCCCACTARGCCCCAAAAGCTTGGAAATAGCTAAAAAAAAATAATGAACCCACATGGATTTGTTTTTTTCCTGCTTGTTTTCCTGCTTTAGGAATTCAGAACATGTCTCCCCTTCGGGGACCCTCCGGGGACTGAAGAATGGCTGGAATGATATCAAATAACCATGGAAAGAGGGAAAAATCCTCTGTTTTAATCCCAGATCTAGAGTCAGAGCTAGGGGGTCCCATCCCGTGTAGTTAATGGGTTATTTAGTTGTATCCTAAGCATTTGGCTGAAATTTCCAGGAATTTGGGGTGATTGAGAGCATTATCCCACTGGATCATACAGAGCTCTGCCAGCACTGCCAGTACTCATCCTGGAGGATGGTTGGGCAACAGAGAGAAACTGCGGGGTGGTTTGGGCAAACAGGGAAATTAATCCCAGTTAATTAGTAAATTGGATTTGTTACCTCCTGGTAAACCCTGTGTGAACTGGGGGGGAGCTGTACCGTACCTTGACTCCCAATCTTTTTATGGGATACACAGCCCTTCCCTGCTGCGGTTCCAGCGCCGCAGGATTCCAGGATGTGGCGAGAGTCTGGGTGATCTGGTAAAGCCGGCGGGCAGGGAAAACCTGTCTCCTCCTCCCCACATGTGCTGCGTGTGCTGGGAATGCTGGCAGGAAGGGAGGGAGGCCCCGAGGAGCTGCAGTGCTGGAATGTTCCCCCTCACCGCTGGCAGGATGGGCAGGCCAGAACGCGCCCGCTTGGCTCTTGGCATGTGTGCTTTCATCCCAGCGTTGCTCTTCCCCTTGCTGGAATGCCAGCAGCATCCTGTCTGCACCCASAGCCCACCATCCCACTGGGTTTAATCCCAACTTTGTGTAGGGACCCCCTTCCTAAGGAGGATCCTGCAACCCTCCTTGGAGGAAGCAGACGAGTCCAACGTGTCTCATCTCCATAGTGCTTTGCAAACAGTAACTAATTAATCCTAATTAACTTGTTACCTAATTAGTGCCCAAGGGCCCTCCCCTTTGCAGGGAGATGGGAAATTCTGGCACCTCAGGGCATTTTTTTCTCAGCATTTACTAAACACCCCAAAATCTCCATGTTGGCTTCACACCGGCATCAGACAGTGCCCTTTGTACTCCACATCACTGCCAATCCAGGGAGAAAAACCTACTTTTTGGGATTGTCAATGCTAAGAAGCCTGGAATGAGGATTTTCACTCATCTGGATTGCTGACACTGSGAATACTGGCATCTCTAATGCCTGGTGTGCCCACCCATCCCAGGGGAGCCCACTCTGGTAGGTGCTTTCAACTATTTTTTAATGGAAAATGAGGGATTTTTGGTGAGGAAACAAGTGGGTGGGTGAGACAGAGGTGTTTCCCAAATAATTCCCTTCCCAGTGTGCCATGATCAGGGACACAGGCTTTGGGAACACCAGAAAAGTTYGAGGGGATCCCAATGTCACCACCCAGGGACCACATTTCACACTGTAAAATCCCAGCTTGCCATTCATAAAAATCTCCCTTTCTCTGCTGAGTCAGCTAGAGATTCTGGATGGATCCAGCTTCCTGGTGCTGCTGGAATGGGAAGGATCTACTGCTCTGTGCAGGTCTAGTGGCCCTGTGACTTTGCTGAAATCCTATGATGATTCCAACACAATTTCCCTTCACTCCTGCATTGCCTTCATTTTAATTGCAGTTGGATCTACCTGAAAGCAAAACCAGCCTTGGAATCACATTTTTTTCAGAGAGCAAGTGCTAATTTCCTTCATTTTCCAGCCTGGGATGGAGCTGGGCATGGTTTTWGGTTTTTTGTTTTTTGTTTTTTTTCTGCATACCAACCACCTTCCCAGGAAAGGGGCCCCTTTCCCACACCCAAGATTAATCCACCCAAAGCAGGGTTGGAAGAAAAGCCCAGAGTGCCACTTATCCCAGCCAGTCCCAACAAGGAAAATCCCAGGAGATGTTCAACAATCTTTGATGGATCCCACAAGCTCAGCAGTGACCCACACCATCTCCTCCCAATGCAGATTTGAGACTGGATAACTGCATTCCCCCAGAAAAAAAAAAAAAATCAGGAAATGCCTAAATTGGTGTTGAGGTTTAAAACCACCAGTTTCTTAATCACAGGCAAAAAAATGCCACAGCAGAAGTGAAAGTTCTGATGGAAATTAACCCAGTGAAGGGGAACTCAGATATCAGGCAAGCTCTGGGGGGATCCAGGCTCTCCTGCTGTCCTGTTTTGGGGTGATGCCAGTGCTGGGTGGCAACTTCTGGGTGTCATATCCGAAAATCAGATAAAAAGGGAGTTTTGGAGCTGCTGGCTCAGWTTCTTGTTTGAGTCATGGATAATTAATGGATCTGGGAACCCTCCAGAATGGAGAAGTGCAGGATGATGGGGGATCCCAGCTAGAGGGCTGACAGAGCAGTGGGAATGTGGGGAGGGCCAGTGACAGGCCCAGAGGCACCACTGGGGACCTCTGTCCCAACTCCATTGCCATGGCCAGGACTTGTTCCAGTGGCTTCTGACACCCTGGGCAGCTGCTCTGTGGTGGGGACCTCTTTGATGCTCATCCCACCTTATCCCATCCCCAACCCATTCCACCCTCATATCCTATCCCATCCCACCCCATTTTATTCTATCCAAATACCATCCCATCCCATTCCTAATCCTTCCCCATTTCTCACCTCCCTTGGATGCACCATTTCCTTTCAGGATATCCCTCTCTTCTCCATCCTCCTCTGTGACAGAACATTCTGGGAAAATATGAAAAAAAAATCCCTAATTTTGTGGGTTTTTTTAAAGTAATTTTTAAAATGGAAACTTGGAAGCTCCAGGGGTCATCCCCTGGACCTGGGAGGAGGGGAATGGGTGGGATTTGCCTCTGCTTTTCCTTCCTCTGTGGGCAGTGTCTGTGGATTTGGGGGCCTGCAAGAGACTCACAGAAGAGCTGGGGAACCCTGAGACTGGGGGAGACCCTGAGAGGGGCTGGAGACTTCACAGAAAATGGGGGGGATCCCCAGGGGGGTGAGGATGTACAGGGAGGACTGGGGGGTGAACCTGAGAAGGCTGTGGAGCCTTACAAAGGGGCTGGGGGTGTCAGAGGCAGAGAGAGGGGTGAGGGGCAGCTGAGGGGAACTACAGGCTGAGGGCAATTGTTGGGCTAAAGGAGTTCAGGGGGGTTGAGGAGAACTGGGGAGCATGAGGAAAAACAAGGGAGCTGAGGAGAATCAAGAGTCTGAGGAGYTTTGCTGAGGATGTTGAAGGGTGACAGCTTGGGGGACTGACAGGAACTTGAGGAGCTTTTGGAAGGGCTGAGAGAATCAGGGGTAGAAGAGTTTTAGGGGAGCTGAGGGGATCTGGGAGATGAGGAGACATGGAGGGGTTTGAGACAACTGGGGGTCTGAGGAGATTAGGAGAGGTGTGTACATTGAGGAGTCCTGGAGATGCTGAGGGAACTGGGGATGAGATTTGGGAGGGCTGGAGAAGGCTGAGGAGAATGGAAGGAGCTGAAGATATCTGGAGGATCTGAGAAGATTTGGGGGAATCTGAGTGAAACTGAAAGGATCTTTGGGTAGGCTGAGAGGAACTGGGGGTCTGAGGAGATTTGGAGGAGCTGAGGAGATTTTGGAGGTGTCTGAGGAGATTTGGGAGAGTAAGRACACTGAGAAGTCCTGGAGGCTCTAAGGGAACTGAGGGGTTGGGGTTTGAGGGA